ACGAGTTCTTGACTTAGCTCTTTCTCGTTCATCAATTTCACGAACTCTTGATTTAGCTCGTTCACGTTCATCAATTTCACGAACTTTAGATTTAGCACGTCCACGTTCATCAATTTCATTTACTCTTGATTTAGTTCTACCACGTTCTTCATTATCAATATTCTTAGTTCGAGATTGTTTATCATCAGGAATATAAGTTTGAGTTTGTAATGGTTTATCATCATCATCATTATCTTTAATTCTAGTAGATCTTGAATAATTAGATTTAATATTTATATCTTTTGCATCATCAGACATACTTTCACTAGCTTTAGAATCTTTACGAATTCTTTGAATAGGTTCTCTATTTTTATTTCTTAATGATTTAGATCTTGAAATATTATTAAAAGATTTATCATTATTATTATCATCATTATTATTTTCTTTTTGTTTAAATCTTTCAGATACATCTTTTATTTCACGTAAATTAAATTTCTTTTCTTTATTAAAAAAGATAGAATCATCTGATAATAAGATAGGAGTATCAGGAATTTCTTGAGTAGGACTTTGAAATTTAATTGGTCGACGACCTGTTGGAATTCTAGAAAGTTTTGATTTTTGATTTTCAGATGAAAGATTAATTGGAGTAGAAGATTGAGAAATAATAGTTAAAGGAGATGAAATTTCAGATGAAGGAGGAGTTTCTTTTGGTATTATAATTGGTGAAATAATTTCTTTAGGTATTATAATTGGTGAAATAATTTCTTTTTTATCATTTAAAGTTAAATCAGAATATGAACGAGATCTTGAATTATTAGGTCTTATAGTAATATAAAGAGGTTCATCACTTTCACTATGACCATTATCATTATTATCATCATCATCTTCTTCATCTTCATCATCACTACTATCAACACTATCACTATTACTATCATCACTACTATCGCTATCACTACTATTATCACTTTCACCATCGGTAGTAGTATTAGATGAACTAGATAATTTAATATCATCATTACTATTATTTACATTATTCGATGAAATATTATTGTTTTTTAAAAACTTGTTATTACTAAATATATTTGAATTATTATCAAGAGGTGGTAATTTAATAGATGATTTAACATTATTTGTTAATACATCAGATCCTAAAGGTTGCATACTTAAGGATTCAACAACTTTTGGAGATAAAGAACCACTAGATACTGGTGGTGTTATTAAATGATATTTATCAGGAATTTTTTCTAATGATTTTAAATTAGTGTGATGTAGAGAAGGTTCGATAAGCGGTGAAGTTGTACTAAGCTTTGCACTAAATGTATTAACTGAATTTAAATCATTATTATCTGACGGGGATGATGTAAATGTGGATGTAGTTGATGAAATGGATGTATTTGGAGTAGTTGATGTAGTAGATATTGTGGACTTGGTGGATATATTGAATATTAGA